ACACACAGGTATGCTAACGGCAGGGTGACCCCTCTGTCAAGTTTCCCCTTAACCCGTGCGCTCCCATTGGCTGTATGTGCCTGACAGACTCCCTGACAGATCCAGACATTTAGCATGCTAGATATCAGGAAAGAGTCTGCGATGCACCGGCGAGCCGCTGTTTTTGAACAGTTCACACATAGCGCTCAAGCGCACAGATGTGCGAATAATGTAATAATAATAATAATGTACCCCAGCACTTAATTATTCATCCAAGTCTCTGTGCAATAGCTTTTTAGTATTTATTATCTTCAATTAGGTGTTTTATCCTGCTTGTTTTCATCTCATTGTCTTTGTGTTATCTTGTTCTCTTGCTGCTGGTCACTGGAAGTTACCATGCTGAATTTTTTCGTTGTATGGTTTCAATGACAATAAGGTCCCAAAAAAGCCCTCTGAGGCAAATTTGTGATTTGTGATTTTGGGCTATACAAAAATGTCTTGAATCTTTATCAGGGGAGTAGATGATTGCACTCTTTTTCCATCTGGAGTTATCAGTGATGAAGGAAAGAAGTCAAGAACCAAACATGGTACCACTACCGGCATTTTGCCAGGTTATTTGACTGGCCCCTAATTGTCAATGACAACTGACATAACAAGCAGCAAGATTGTAGAAAGACAGTCTGAATTGGATGAAGTGTTTATGAAATGATGTTAATTTACAAATGGTAAATATTGGTCATATGAGGCAACCTATTTATTGGCAACCCAGTTAATATCAGATAGAGAGAGGTCAGATACTTCTTTCAGCATGATCAACTTGCGAGACTACTGCAAATAGATGTTTAGATGCATTTAAATGGATGAGATGTGACTGTGGGATGCAGAATAGCAGAAAACTCCTTGCGACATGTGTTGTTGTGGTTGTAGAGTTAAGTTCATAAAAAGTTAATTTAGAGACTGGAGGTCTTGAGGGAGAGTATAGGAAGTTATTCCTGGGTGTGGTATCTCTGAGGTTGGCTGTGACAATACACTCCATTGTTATTCACAACAGAGGGAGCCTGTCCCAGGTTCCATGGAGGAAGGATGCTGAGGGCCAAATTGGATTTCTGGCTGAATGAGGAATCAGCTACTTGGGGTCGGTCTAGAGAAGGTTGAGCCACCGTCTCTTTGTGGGGCTGTTGCTGGAGTGCCTTTCATACGTCGCAGATCCTCCAGAGTTATTGAGATTCAGAGGAGAGTCCAGGCTGGCCAAGTGGAGGGTTCCTCCAGCTGCTTAGCAGCACAAATTTGCTCAGGGGTCACACTATAAATATTGAATCCCTTTCCTGCTGAGTGCCAGGAACACCCCATAAAGAGTTAGTTTTCCCAGCCCTCTCCAGGCCAAACTAATGCAAGAAAAAGCCATCAGGGCAAATAGACAGGACTGGCCATAAGATAACTCTTCAAAGTTTAGATCAGCACTGCCCTGTTAGAAGATGTCTATAACTTGAGAACGGGGCTCGGGCCGAAAGGACACAGCAGAAGCCTCCGCAGGCTGCATTACACATTTGTAAAATAAAATGTGAAATAAATACATAGATATGAATGTACTGAATTGTTATTTATCAACATAACGGTATCCGACACCAGATCGGCCTCTTGTCACCGTAACCCAATCCAGCTACTTGAGTCAGTATCTCCCCAGCGAGAGCAAAGAAAACCGGGACTGTAGCACAGCTGAGACCCACTGTCTCGTCTTAAGTTACTGCTCATGAAAACCCAACATTTCCTGCTTTTTTGCTGCTTCAAAATAAAAGCCTTTAAATACAAATACAACAAACAAGTGTGAATAATTTATAGGAAAATGTGTTTATCACTGTTTGATGGTTGCTTTTCTTCAATAGAACAAGTTATACTGCAGGGAGGAATGATAAGCTGCAAAAATAACTAAGACTTTATAAGAAATTGAATGTGTTTATCCAACGTTTTACAGGGTTGCTCTGACCACGAAATGTATACGATCACGGTCTGATCAGCCGGGTCACATTCACGTGTCAAGTGTGAACACGTATGCGGCCGAGATCCGATCTGCCACATCGTACAATACAAAGTTGCAGAAAATTACTTTTTATATCCCATTAGTGTCCAATGCTACACTAATGGGTAAATGATCCTGATTTCTGTTAGTTGACACTGAAATCTTCTGCTATGAAACAGCCACCAAACATACTGTAAGATGTTGAATGAATTTCAAATGTCTGCAGTGTTGGTAACACTTATCAACAGCATTTTCACGAAGAGCTGTTCACAGCTACGTGTTACTGGTGCTGCAGAATCTTCACTTTCGGTAGATTTGATAAAATGACAAGTGCACAAATGTTCGTTAATGCATGTGAACTCATTGCACATGGAATCAACATATGAAAACTGTTGAATCTGAATTGTCTTTGCATTGTATAACTTTAAACCAATTTTGTTAATTTTGTTCCTGATCAGGTTTTCATTCCTGAAAACAGTTAGTTTGATAAAATCAGCATATTAACGTTTCACGTGCCTTAAAGAAAGACTGCCCTGTATTATTTGTGGGGGACAATTTCTTCATTCGTTTGTGGGAAAATGTTACACCTTATGTCAGGTGGAAAAAGCAGAGTTGTGTCTATAAACCATTTTCAGTTGTGAATGTGACACGATTCTTTCGGCAATTGTTGTTTTGCAGTGCAAAGGCAGGCAAGAAAAAAGAAATGCAGGCCAGCCAGGACCCACTGAGCTTTTTTTTTTCCCGCCTGGTAAAAAGAATGAATTATTCAACAGTAAGCAAGCTTTCAGCTGGCCATTTGTGTGCTTTGATCTAAAAATCAGGAGTTTGCATGGATGCCTGTATTGTCATCTTATGCTTCCACAGTGTGTGAATGAGTGGAAATAGTGCAGGCCCCCCCCCCCCGTGTCATCTGGTAAAGTTTACACTGCGTGTGCTGAGGACGGGCAGGCATTGTAAATTCCCTGATGTTATTTATTTGTCCTGTGAGATCACATGGCTGGGTTCAGTCAGGCTGGCCTCGCCTAAATGTTCAGTGTGAAAACAGCTACGGGGTCAACCTGATACAAACTGCAGCTCGACGTTAAAGCCCACCCCTCCCCCTCTTCGCTCAACAGAACGATAAAATCTGTAGGTGTGGCACGCCACCAGGTGCGCAGGTATCAAAGATCTCATGTTGTTGACAGTTTTATACCCTGTGTTTTTATTTTAACTCACAGACGACGGCTAAGATTTGCATTTTACTGGTCAAGAGTCTACGAAATACATCGGCCTGAAATCATTTTCCTATGAATAAAATCAGCACCTTTTTGAAAGCAACCTTAACCTTTAAAACGAGTTAGTATGAAGGAAATGTAGATCTGAAACAATTAGTTGATACATTTATAGATAAAAAATAACAAAGAAAACAAACTCTGACAACCAAATAATCTCTAGTGTTATCTTTTACGGCAAAGTTCCAGATTCTCAAATGTAAATATTTTCTGGTTTTCTGATAGAAAAGTGAAGATCTTTGGGTTTTGGAGTGTCAGGTTTAAAGTCATCGTGGACCCTGAGAAGTTGTCATTTTTCAATATTTGCTGACATTTTATGGACCAAACAATATAAGTAGATTAATCCTTAGTTGCATCTTTACTGTATGGATAGGTTGTAATTGAAGCTGCTTTACCCAGACCGAGCACAAGAGCCCTAAACATCACAAGATGATGATTCACACTCTCAACCTTATATTTCCATTATACAAACAACAAGCAGATATTAGCATCTATCAGTGTTTGCTTGTCTTACCTTGTTTATGCAACATGTCTCCTATATTCTGCTCTTTTCTATCTGTGGGATGTACTCTTACGATCTGTCACACTCTGGGATGCGTGATGTGCTGCCATTCATTGAAAATGCCTTTTCTTCTGATTACCTAAGACACGGCTTATTAGCACATGTGCGGTACGTTGTGGTCCCATTGTGTCATGAAACAAAAACAAGGCCTTTAATTGATAATTATGTGAATGTAGAAAAATGTTTCATTATATTGAGGGGTTCGGTGCATTTTATAGAGCAGAAAAGCGGATCCATGGCATTGATTGGCTACAGCTGGACACATAATTAGAGTGCCTCCTTACCAATAATTTGTGTAATAGTTTTTGTTGGCGGCATGTTATTACCATATGAAAGGGCTAAGCAGGGGTCATGTGCATTGCTGCAGCAATTAGAGCAGAGCTAAGGGCAGAAGAATGTTTGGAGCCGTCGTTAATTGGAAATCTCTACAAAGCTATGCTTTAATTATAATTTAGTCAGAGCTGCACTGTTTTAAACCCAATATATTCAGTTGCCATTATTTTCTGTAATAGTATGAACAGCTAGATCTGTTTCCTTTCAAAGCGCCGGGCTTTGAAGAGAATGAGACTGAATTAGATTAATTTGAAAGGCTGTGCTGCTGCGAGTTTCTTTCTTTTCTTTTTTCATGCTTATGGCTCTTTGTGTTCTTACTGGGAAACTGGATCTGGTTTGTTTAGGAGATACACATACCTTCCAATTTGCATGCACACAAAATGATGGTTACAGTTTGCTTTATAGCTTTGTGTTCGATTTTTTGACTCTTTCCTAGAAAAGTTGTAGCTTTGTGAATGAATATATTACTCATATTGTGACTAAAGCCTCTCATTAAATATCCATTATTTAATATGTTCAGACTAGTTTTAAAAGTATTTCTTTACTTGGTTAATAAAAAATAATTTCAATGTTATGTTTCTTATATTAACTGTAACACATAACTTACATGTGTTAAGTGTTTGAGTGTTAAAGAACTAAACCATGAGACTACACGAGTCTATGTAAAAAGCCTACATGAGACTGTTCATGGCCACGATGTGGTTTTTCTTTGTCTTTCTTGCTAAAATATTTCCCCTCCTCACTTGATATTCAACATTTAATCTATCTCTAAATGTTTCATGTTATTTGATGTAGATATCTTTTTTTAAACACATTTCTCATTTTTCTCTACACGCAGGTCGAAATGAGCTGATAGCCAGATACATCAAGCTTCGGACCGGGAAGACGAGGACTCGGAAGCAGGTAAGACAAGACAAGAGACGTCTCTCTTGCATGAGTGTCAGAGGGCTGTCAAATATGAATACCGGCAGACTGTTGCCTTTGTTTCCAGACAGAGAATAACACAATGCTTTGCTCTCGAGGAGACTTCTGAGGCTGACAAGTCCCCCGTCACTGCTGTGTTGCATGAACAGATGCCCCTAGATTATGACATTTTCCAAAATTGTCACTTATTAGTACACATACTGTGTAAGAACTGTAGCAGTTGTTCTAAAAGATCATTTCCCCTTAAAATGCAGCCTTTCATTTCCGACAGTATAGCAGCTTTGAACCATAAACATAAGAGCGTTAAAAGAGAGCCACAGTAGCTTAACAGTGCAAGTATTCTGCTTCATGACTAAATCATGGAGGCCGTGCACTTGGCCGGAGGAGAAGCCTGTATTAATAGGAAGGTGGAAGCCTTAATAGATTGGTACAATCGCTGATCAAAGAGAGCATTCGCTGAGAGTGCATCCTGTCTCTGCAACACACTGGGTGCTTTGCAGACTCACAACTCTCACCACAGCGTTCTGCTCAGATTTCTGAATCAAGCTGCGATGAATTCATAGTCTGTGCTGTAATATGTCATGTAAATGATATAGAATTCATGCCTTTTTTATCTTTCCCATATATGTATTCCTCAAAGGAACAATAGTACTAAAATATATCAAAGTATACAATTGATTCGTGTATTCACATTAGCTGATAATGAGCAGCTGTGATGGTGCTTCAGTAACAGTATGAAACCCGCTGACTGATCTTCCCTCTAAACAGGAAATCCCCTGTATGACCACTGACTTGAATGGCAATGATAAACCAGTGTCTGCAGTGACATTCAATCACTGTGTGTGAATTGATCAGTCTGGAGCAGAAAGGCTGTGTGGTTTCTCTCTCTGTGATTGTTAGAGAGAGAGAGAGAGAGGTTCACATCTACACCAAGATACACGCATCTGTTTCTATTGTTAGTTTAAATGCATGTTGTGTTTGTGTGTAATTGCTGTGTTGTTTATTTTAAGGCTGCAACTAACAAGTATTTTCAGCAGAGATGAAATGTCGAGTCACGCGAGATAAAATTTATCTGCAAAAATGTTGACATCCAATAATTGTTTTTCTTTCTTTTTTTAAGCAAATTTGTCAAAGATTCACCATTTACAGATTTAAAAAAATCTTCTATGACAGTGAATTCGAAATCTTTGGATTTTGGACTGGCGGTTGGACAAAACAAGCTATGTGAATATGTCCACTTGCGATTTAGGAAACACCCTTTCTAGTATTTTCTGTCATTTTCAAGCCTTAAAAACTACTTGAAAACATAATCGTCAGTTTAATCAAATATGGAAAAAAATTGTTAGCCCTGATCTTCATTATCAGATAATCAGCTTATTATTTTCTTCATTGTTTTATCAATGAAATGCCAGAAAATAGTGAAAGATAACCAGTATATTTTCCCTGGGCCCAAGATGTTAACTTTATAATAACTAGTGCAGTGCCCATTCAAACATGCCTGTTCAGAGCGGGCTGAATTCTTGGCCCTGTTGTTGCTGCTAGCAGCTTTCTTGAGAACCGCTCAATCAAAGAACTTCACCCTAAACACTTTACTCTCTCGAGTCCTCAGCAAAACTCCTGCCAGGACATAGTTGTGTCACACACACACAGTCAGAGACACTAGTGAAATAGACTTTACCGTTAGGCAAGGTACGCAAATGCCTGGGGCACCAATCATCAATCCCAAAACGTTATTTGTGTTATAGATAAGTAGAGCAAAATGTATACAACTTGAGTTGCACTGTTCCTGTGTAGGCTGTCCGCTCGTGCTCGTTGACTCCAGGGAAGTGAAGTCGGGTCACAACGTTATCCAGCATCCATTTAGCGTTGGACGCCGTGCTCGACTGCAGAGCCCCGAAGCTCCGCCCCTGCAGCTCCACAGAGCGCTGTTCGCTTGTTTATTAAGTTTATTCATATTGAGCGTGTCAAGTGTCCAAATTGCACCATATTCAACAAAGCACTCCCTCGGGTGCTACAGCAATACACCTGTGGAGTAGATCAGATGAGCGATTCTCGAGATATGCATAGACCACGCAGTCGGACAGAGAGACGGACAGATGGACAGAGAGACGGACAGATGGACAGAGAGACGGACGTACAGATTCCTGCTTTATAATTAAATATGAAACACAGAAAATCCTCACATGGGAAAAGTTAGAACCAGAGAGTGTTTAGCATTTTTGCTTGAGAAATGATTCAAATAGTTGTTGATTTATTTTAGCTCTAGTTTATGTATCAACCTGAATAGCGACGAAATATGTTATATTTTGAATAACATAAATATTTACCTGCAGAGGCAGCACTTTTTAAATCACTTCACTCACTAGAAAACTCACTTTCGGTGTGATTTGCGTGGATAGCGTCGGAGGAGACGCCTCTCAGACCTGTCATCAACACACTTTGTCTTTCCAACTGTTACTTGCACTGCTGAATGTTTCATGTGTGAATATTAAATAATTTAGCACTGTGTGAACGTCGGAGGGTACACTTGGCTGGTGAAATGCCTCGCCGAGCTCCCGTAAGAATACTAGACCAGCCAATTCTCATTCAACACACAGAAGATGGCATCTGGGTGGTCTTAATGTGTGCTAAAGGGGCCTGCATCCTCCTTAATCAGTTCACTTAAGTGACGACAACACACAGCAAAACGCTTTATTGGCTGTTAGCTTGGCGTGTGGTTTGGAGATGCTTCTGTTACGCACCGTTTCTCCCTCAAGTGTCTGTTAAACAAAGAAATGTATAATCCACTTTGTGCTTCTTTTGAATTTTCTTGTTTTTTTATTTTACTTTTTCTCTTCTGTTTTTTTTAACGGAGGTGTCTAGTCACATACAGGTCTTAGCAAGAAAGAAAGTTCGAGAAATCCACGCTGCCATTAAGGTACGTCTGGCTTTGCCCAGTTGCAGGGGGCTTTTCATTGCCATGGTTACAGGCTCTTCCTTTGTTTTCCTCCCCTCCCCTACCCCGCAGGTGTCTAGTCACATTCAGGTTCTTGCCAGAAGGAAATCTCGTGAGTTTCATTCCAAGCTAAAGGTATGCGCTTTTCTGCTTTTGGGCTTGTTGGTTGCTGTGAGACTTAACTTCCTGTTTCCCGTGGTGACAGAGTGAATGCCCGGTGCTCTGATTCCTGCTGATCCAAATGTCCTGCTGACTGTCGGCTGTTCACACTTTATAACCCCCTCCGACTTCTCAGTCCAGTTTCTATTTACCCTCACTATGACATGCTGTCAATGTCCTGCCTGCTTGTTTTCATCTACATTTATTCACTTTTCTTTACTCGTCATATCCATGACTTATTATAAGAACAGTAAAGACATTTTGTGTTGGTAAAAAATAATAAAATGGATTATTATCAGTCACTCTTGAGTGGTCTTTGAGCTAAATGCTATCACCATCATGCTAGCATGCTCACAAAAACAATGCTAACATGCTGATGATAGGCAGGTATAATGTTTACTATTTAATGTTTTATCTGATGGTGGTGCTAAATGATAAGTCAGAGATCCATCACAGGTAATTATAATTCATCCTAAAGGGGACATGAATGTTTGTACCAAATTTCATGACAATCCATCCAGCAGTTGTTGAGACACGTCCCTCAAAGTCACAGATGTCAACCTCATGGTGGCTCTAGAAGAAAAGTCTCATTCTGAGGATTCATCCTCTGGAGATCATGAATATTTGTACCAAATTTCATGTCAATCCATTTAAAATTTTCTGTCTGGACCTAAAGTGACAGACCAAAAGAGATTGTGATTCCTAGAAATTGTTAAGAATAATGTGAAA